ACACACACACACAATATATACAGACCACAGTCTACATGAAAGAATGAAAATATATCTAAAGCTTGAAATGATTTTCTGTGTGCACGTTGGCTCTGTGTTTGTGTATTTGTGTGATTACGTGTTTCCTGCCATCTGCTTGGATGTGCAGGACTCCCTGGACTGTTTCATCTAGCAGACCATCAGATTATTGCTGTTTACTACAGCCACAGATTAACCCACYGAACAATAATAATCCTCCTCAATCACTCTGTCCTTCTGTGCCTCCAGCCTTTAGTTCTGAACTCTCCTTCTATGTTTCTCCTTCATGGAGCTGAAACATCTTCCTCAAACCTTCAGTGTCAAAAACACTGAGCCWGAAATTTAAAGACAGAACGAACAGGAAAAGATTCAAGCATTTTTTACACTAATGTAACTGAGTTCCACACAGCGTGATTAAACAGAAAGAAAAAAAATGATTCTGTACTTTATTCATAATGTCTAACATTCAAGTCTTTTTACATAATTATCATTTGCTTCAACTCATCAGAATTTAACTGTCAGACATTAACGGTACAAGTAAAAATATTTCCTGAACAAAACTGTTTTCATTCATATAAATATTTATTGACAACAGGCAATAGATTCATCAATCCCCTGTTTCAGACGGTTCAAAATCCCTGAAATGTGTATCTTGTGAGATCTGGTGCTACAAGTTTGAGGAAGACTTTGTAATCTGCTAAAATTACAAGTCAAATTAAAAAAGATATTTTATTAGTAAATGATAGTTAGAGTAAAGACATTAAATTACAAATTCAAAATTGTTGCATGATTTAAAACTATGATGTATTGTATTTTTTACTACAATAATTTCATCAGGTTTAGATAAAAACAGGAGGAGCAGCCTGCCAGCTGGCACTGATTCAGTTGGTGTTTATTCATGGGCAGTGTCAGACATTTAGCCTATTTTAGGACTTATCCAGGATGTTAAAGTCACATTTCTGCCTCAGATTTTTTGAATGGAGCATCCTGCTGGTTTACTGCCCTTCAGAGGAGTGAAGTAGCTCTGGTTGTGTCACAGCGAGTGAATCATAGTACYGCACGCACAAAAAAAATGGATTATCACACAGGTCAGTGGACTGACCGGCCTAGAAAATACTGCCGGACTGCTTATCACAGAAACACACATGCAGACGTGGAGTAAGAGGGGTCCTCCATCATCGACCCACTTTGTTTACGTTCTCCTCCCTCCAGGATGCCCATCTGTTTCTGTGCTCATCAAAAAATAAAAGTCTAGACCACACAAATGTTTCATAACAGTCTTTCTAATAACAAATATGTTCTGATTTATTTTATAAAATGTCCTCATTGATAATCAGCGTCTCTTTCCGTGAGGCACGTCCAAAACTGTCCAATCAAATAAATTTATGCTCTCCTGCAGTTTCCCAGCAACACCCGATCCAACGAGCTAATTGTACCAGGTCAGCAGTGACTGAGGGATGCTAAACAGTTTTCATTTTAAACGTTTAAAWGCTGCAGAGAATGGAGATAAACTCCYAGAAGCAAACAGGAAGTGATGTCAAAGCGACCCCGCACAGAATACGTGACATTGCTGAGCAGATCGATGCCGTTTATCACACCCTCGTGCACAGATGGAAACTAAAGGCTGAGAGTCGTATTAATGAAGTATCGACTGGCTGGAACAATTACACAACAAACTCCATGACCAGGAGAACACTCAACAATCAGCCATAAAGTCATCACCTGAATATCGAGTASTTTAACCTGATGTGACCAAAGAGTGTGACCGGTCAGTGTGTGGACCGGCAGACRTGCTGGACTGAACAGCAGACCACAGGATGATCAGCACAAAATGTTCAATTTACGTCAGGATGCAGGTTTTTATCGACACAACACAGCAATTTATGAGATAAAAGCTGCCCTAAAAAGAAATCCTATAATAAAACATCATTCAGGCTTACACTCATTGCACCCACCAGGAGTGTTTTTCCCATGATGCATCTCTTTCCAATTGTTTCCACAGGTAAGTGACGCACAGAGCTCTCTCTCTCTCCACACGGTTTAAAAAATATGATTCATTAAACCAGGTCACGTTCTTCCATTACGCTGAGATTCAACTGGCTGCTTGGAAACAAACGTCTTGTTTTCTTTATTCACCTGCTTCTTCATTACTGTACAGAAAACTTTACATATATTTTATTTGTAAATTAAAGCAGGATATGATTGTTTCTGTTCTGAGAAAAACTATTGAGTCATAATGTCAAGCTTTGGTTTGGGGTCTGCTGTTTTTAAATGTCATTTTTTGGTCATCGGCTATTTAAACCCAGAGTTGACACATAAACGTGAAAGAGAAGCTGGAGAAAATGATGGAAGGCTATGATGGAAACAATAATTACCTGCCACTCAGTGTGGTTTTAATAAAGGGAGCCCAGACTACGTCTAACAGACATTATTTAAAAAAACATTTATATATCAACTATTAAAACAAGACTAAAAATACTGAAAAATATATTTACTAGTTGCTTTAGAGTGAGTTTTGATTCTCTATATTGTCATAAATGTGCATTATCTTTGGCACTTTTGCTATGTAAAAATATATTTGTATTGCCTTGGTAACGCAAAAGCTAACCAGCTAAAGCTGAGGTTGTCCTTCAGTGGAGCAGCTCTGTTGTCCTCCATCATTTTCAGTTTCAGGCTGAAACACACTCTGGTTTCATTAAGAGGTCATCAGATATTGCTCAAGGTTAATCTTCAGGGTGGATAGAGCTTGCAGCCTTGCATTAGAGAACCTAGTGAACTTCATCATTTACCTGGTATGCTTTGCRACATAAATAATACGGTGCCGTTCGTGTGACAATATACTTTTAGAATTGCTAAAAACTAAACAGCTTATTTTAGTTTAACRGTCTTATTTATAGTTGAAGTAAATGTTTATTAAATATTGTCTAATGTTACAGCTAGTTGGGGTTCMCTTTAATAATTAAAGTCAAATACCAGAGGAGATTGTGCAGGTGTTTTAAAGAAGGCCTAAATAGTCTCCAACAAACAACTCAGCGAGATACTACCTGAACTGATGCTGATGCTAATCTGTTAGCCATGCTGCTGATAAAAAATAAAAATAAAAAGTTAAGCTACTTAAAAGAGCTGACTGTGGTGCAGAACAGAAAAAAGGCTTAATTTGGAAATAACCACAGCYCCTCTGGATCACATTGTTGACTGTTTTGGTTGTAGCTCAGGGAGACATTAAGCAACAGAACAACCTTTGGTTTAAGGAGGTTTATGGGAGACAGCTGATCAAAAATCCTCAAGTGATCTGAAACTTACTCCTTTTCTGAAGACGTTACAAAAAGGTCAAACAAAAATCAGAATCAACCGTGGGCTGCTCTGCTCAGAGGCTGGTGGAGATGTTTACCAGGACACAGAAACTCTACCACTGTAACTAAACACTTCAGAGGCCTGGCTGTAATTTCCATTAGTAAGAGATTATTAATGGGTCGAAAAGCAAAAAAAAAATTAGTGGCATGATGCAGCCAGCCATTTCATCCAGAAGGATCTTTGTTATTGATTAATACTTTCATCCAATGGTAAGTAAAGTGCAAGCAGCTTTTATTCTGGTCCCTGCCACGTAGCTTGTTTATTTGGGACAGTATCAGGTAAACAGCAATTTTTTAACCAGGTTTCTGATAACAATGTGCTGTATTTGTTTAACTATTTACTTGTTTAACCACTGGCAATGAAGACTAACTCATTTATTTGGACTTTTTTTCATATTTGGWTGTTTTTAAATCACATTCAGACTGCAGCTTAGCATTTTTAGTTATTTTTAGCTGGGACGGTACGATTTATTTTCATCCYAATGCAGGAACCAGAGTCAGAGGGTGACGATCTGTGAGCCACAGTTTACTATTATTGAATAACATTCAAAGAGGTCCAGTAATGTGAATCCACCTGGTGCTGTTTTAATGTAAAGGATCAATGGAGACTCATAGCTTTAAGTGGCCACTCAAGAAAACTCTGCAGCACTTTTGGGTCAGATTGACTTTTTACAGCCTGATGGTTGCTGCTTAATGACAACATGAGTTTAAGAAAGAGAGAAATGGTTCAGAGGAGAAGGTTGAACATAAGATTTTGTTTAAATAACTTTGCCTTGTTTGAGCCGTTAGTTCAGTTTTTAAGTGGGTAATAGGGTTGGGCATTATCGTAACGTGTGCAATTAATCATCAGAAAAACATTAAGATTATTTTTTGGCACTTGATGATTAATATGATTAATCTCCAGTCAGTCAGCTCGATGCTCCTTTCTGCTTCAAATATGACGAACATTTAAAAAAAGTTACGTAATTTATTTATCTATATCAACACAACTTAAAATTTGATGTATAGCCTGAAATCTATGATTTTGACACAATTTGGGACAGATTTTTATGAAGAGCAAATCTTTTGTAATTGGTTAAGCGACTAGGACATAAGGGTGTCCAGRGACTCCAGCCTTAATCGTCAAATTAATCCTAATCAGGAGGGGTGCAACAATACATGTACCCGTATCGAACCGTATCGAACTTTAGGTTCAATACACACTTGTATGGAACAATACAGGTTTTTAACATTTATTTTATCAACTTGTCTTCTGAAGATGCTCTGTGTTGAAGGATCAGTGGATCTGTGTTCGACTACTCCACCTAGGCTGCAYTTYTGAGCGCAGATCCACTGAGAAACTTGCTGTTTCAGCAACATTTAATTTAAAAACTGTACTTTTGAGGTTAAACAAATGTTCAYAATTAATTTAAATAAATTACAAGTTAAAAGGGGCATGGACATTTCTCTTTTTTGTATCGAAAAAATATCGAACCGTGAGACTAMAGTATCVAACCGAACCGTGAATTTTCTGTATCGTTGCAGCCCTAGTTATCGGCTAAATACCACGATAAATCATGATCATTTTTTTTGCCAATATTGCCCGACCCTAGTGGGTAAGTTTCTAAAACCTTATATATCTTCTTTTTACATGTTTGTACACAGTAAGCATCAAACACTACATGTATGTGAGAAACCTTCATGTATGAATGACATCACTGAGCTGGTTAAGTCTCTACATACACACACAAACAAACACACACACACACACACACACACACACACACACCACTGCATACATCACTCAGAGATTGGCTCTCATCTTGGATCTTCAGCACCAAGTGCATTATGGGATATCATTGGCTCATTATCTTCTGCTCTACATTACATTAGCATYCAGCTCTCAGTGTTTCTCATAAAGCTCAATGTCGAAGCTGAGAAGACAAACATCTCAGCACCTCTTCCTCCTCTCCTCGTCTTCCTCAGTGTTCACCCTTCTCAAGGTGACTCACCACACAGGCCTGTGTAGCTTCCTCCTCCTCCTCCTCCTCCTCCTCCTCCATCAGTCAGCTCTACATCACCTGACCTTCACTTCCTCTCTTCCATCTTCTCAGCCTCCATGATTGTTGGGTCCTGCAGCAGCAGTCCCTATCAATTGATTGGCCCGGATCAAACGGTCCCGGGTGCGTTGTAAACTGAACCTCCCTCTGGTCGCCCCCCATCACAACCCATTCCACTTGCGTCTCCTGTTTCACTCCTCCCATCAGATTGTGAATCACGATCTGAACATGGGAGTTTCCACTCACCACCTCCTCCTCCTCCTCCTCCTCCTCTCTCTGATGTGGTGTCCCCCTCCGGCTATCTGATGGACAGAGTTACAAACCGTGACAGAGCAGCAGCGATCCACGGCTCGGCCCGAGCACGCTCACCCACCCTCCSCAGAGCCGGATGTAGAGCAGCGGAGAAAACACTGCCAATCACACGTCACTGGGATGGATGGAGCGTGACGTCCTGGTCCCAGCAGGACTGAGTTTTCTACTCTACAGGCTTACCTGTTGTTTTTTTTTAATTTTTACAAGACCCAGGCATCAGAACAAAACATAACTGGTTCATTTTAATAACTCATTTCTTGTTGAGTCACTAACTGGGATAGTTTGATCAAATATTGAGCCAAAACACTTGAACCAGTGGTTAAGTGGGGATGAGTCACGTCACTCTTCAACTGTCACTATTTTAAGACAGAAGTTGACCAAATCRGACCTRACTGGACCTCTGCTTTACAATAAGTAAAGGTAAAACAGTAAAACTTGTTAAGATAATTAACTTGGTTGGTAGGGGTGCAACAATACATTTATTGAACCGTATCTAACAGTGCTTTAGGTTCAACACACACTTGTATGGAACAATACAGGTTTTTAACATTTATTTTATCAACTTGTCTTCTGAAGA